TACATGGCCTGGTGGAGAGTGGGGTACACGTGGTACATGGCCTGGTGGAGAGTGGGGTACACGTGGTACATGGCCTGGTGGAGAGTGGGGTACACATGGTACATGGCCTGGTGGAGAGTGGGGTATACATGGTACATAGCCTGGTGGAGAGTGGGGTATACATGGTACATGGCCTGGTGAAGAGTGGGGTACACGTGGTACATGGCCGTTCTTCTTCTAGCGCCTTTTAATCCACACATCCTGTCTGCTTTGCTCTAGCAGACTTTGTTACATAAGTCTGCCCCCTTTTCTCACCCCATCACTTCTTTTTGAGGGGTGGGTGTTAATTCTTAGGTCAGCAAGCAACGTCATGGGTTCTGTTACAGCGTTTTCATACATATAGGAAACCGGCCTCTCCACCTATAGGTCTGTCCACAGATGTCTTGCTTTCCCAAACACATCTTGCTGGCTGCAGCCTTGTGGTTATATTCGTAGTTCTCTCTACCTGCATCCACCACAGGGAGGGGTGAGGGTGGGGTTAAACTAGGGGGCTTTTACTAACGAAAACAAGAATCCTCACTGTGTTTCCGTAGGCAGCCTCCTCCTGAGCAGAAGTTCTTTGGTGTTTGATGATCTATAATACTCCATCTCCACCCTCCCACATTAGGGGACCTCTCCTTCACCCATCGCTTGTTGCTTCAGACCATTTGATAGAGTTCGTGGTGTGGATTAGGCTATGTCTGCTGCCTTGTCCCATTTTTCAGAAGGGTAAGTTGTTCCATGTGTCTTCCAGGGCATGGAGGGCTGTATGAATAGCCTTTTTTTCTTCCGGTCATTATGAACTGATCACTGTAAACACGTTGGATGTGCACTTTATTCGCTGATGGTTTCATTCTTACACACAGCACTGCTTCCTTCCCTGGTTGAGAGCCTCTTCAAGCCCACGCCTCAGCTTTTGCATATGATCCCGGAGGATTTTTGCTGGCCTGCTTGTCTTTCTGATGTGACAAAGTGTTCCAGGATCTGCTCACATGTTTCCTGGTTCATTTATTTGCCTTTTTTTTAAAACTAAGAAAGTGTGATTGAAGCCAAAATCTAGGCGTAAATCATGAGCATTTCTATTATGTCAACTAGAAGATACTTTGCTTTCTTAAAGACAGTTATCAAGAGTCATTGCTGATTTTCCAGAGCAGGAAGGTAGAGAGCATTGTTCAATATTGTCATTTCTTACCATGTTCATCTCCTTTCTCTACTACAAAAAAAAAGAAAAGAAAAGAAAAAGAAAGAAAAGCAGCCTTGAGCTCTAATGACATTGGCATGCCCACTGATGGACTTAACATTTATGTACATGCATGTTTCTAAGAACAGCCTTTTATTTTATATTTGATTTGATAGACAGATCCTTGCAGAGACAAAGCCCAATCCCTGTATTCTAAGACCATCTGATGGGTTTCCTCCAATGTGCTACCTTCATATTGAGCTCATTTATTTCAATGGCAGTATGTTTGTTCATTAGGCTAGGAACAGAACCCAGGGCCCATTCACACTAAGTAAACACCATTTCTAGGCTAAATCCAAAGCTCTCCCATTTGTTTCACTTTATTGAAACAAATTGTACTGCAGTTTTCCAGATCTATTGTTTTCTACCTTAAAAATGTAATTTAAGTATAACTCCATTAAGTATTTTCATGACTCCAAACCAAAGGTACCCAAGAAAGGGAAGATTCAGAGTAGCCTAACTTGGATCCTCTCCCCACACCCTGTTCCACTTCCTCCCCACAGGTAACCATTTCTGGTTGTTGTCTATTTATGACTTCCTTTTACAACAACAACAACAACAATGAAAATGTGTATTCATTTGCAGCCTTGAATAGACAGTAAACATACTGTACCCCCATTTCTCTCCCATGTCCTCAGGATTACAAGCTACAAGGACAGAGAAGAGATCCTTCTCTCTCTCTCCAGCTGTGTAGTACTCCTCGACAAGGTGGCAGGCAGCTTCTTAACAATTCCTCAGCACAAACTCCTGACATTGCCAATCACTGCAGATCTGCTGTCACTGTGACTAGGACATAGCCGAAGCAGTCTCATTATGAAAACAATAAAGCCATGATCGGACTTCCGTAGCCATGATTTTGTGCCAGTGTGAGCCCATGTTCCATCTCATTAGATACTTGCAGAGTTCTGGAGGTACCAAGATGAGAAGATATCAAAGCATGTGCCTAGGTCTGTCAGCGGTTGCTGTCCTGAGGAGAAATGCCTTAAATCTCTGAGGCCAAAACCTGCGACACTGGTAGCTTGGCTATGAACACTCCTGGGAGCTTCCCAGGGGCTCTGCAAAGACTGTAGAGGTAAGAAGAGGAAAGATCAGGGCGAGTGCCCTAAGCAGAGATCTACTGGGCACAAAGGTTCTGAGGAAGGACAGGGGTTAAAACAATCCTGTCACCACAGAAATGGGTGAAGGGCAGTTGGGCAGCGGCTTTTCTCTCCCAACAGCTGTTCCGCAGAACAGAGTCAAAATGGCTGTGTGGGCAGCCAGTGCTCACCTGTGCTTAGCACATTCCTCAACCCCTGCAGCCAGGCTGCTCTGTGGCTCCCTCCATGGCCTCTGCATTGGAAGAATGATCATTATTTTAAGAAGGCCCTATTTCCACGGGTGTGAGAGCGATGCACCCCAGGGGAAATAGGGTTCTTGCTTGAAGTCTGGAATTAGAACCATCGCTGTCTGGGCAACCGAGACATTGACCATATCTTAGCACCACACCCCAGGATGAGTCAACCGGATGGGGCTAGGTGAATGTCTGTGATCCAGAGAGCAGCTGGCCAAGCACTGCGCGACACAAATACAGTGCAAGTCACAAGGGTCATCTGAAATCTCCCGGAGCCTAACAAGTGAGGGAAACCAAGTTTTAAAGAAGTGATTGAAGTTGTTGTTTGACGGTGTCGGACCTGTCTATAGCGCGCTTTGGTTCCTGTCACCTTGACCCCTCCTGTCTCCCTCCCATCCCATTACTGCGCACCTCTTCCCTGCAGCACCCTTCCCCTCCTTTATGTCTTTCCGTATCAAATTCACTGAGTTTTGCCAGAGCCGTCTATGTGGCCACAGAGTCAGAGCTACCCACCAGAGGCTGAGTCAGCCGTGGGTACCACAGCTGAACACAGGGCTGCCCCTCCCCCAGAATCCATCAGGAGTCCGCAGTTCGGCCCAGAGGAACCGAGTCCCGAGAACTCTCCGTGCATTTCCAGGGTTGACTGTCGTCAGACCCAAGCCTCTGATGTTGTTAAGAGCAGGTTTGTACTGGCTGCGTGGAAACTAAGTCTAAGGGTATGTTTTATTAAACCCACAATAGCCAGAGTATGAAGTTCCCTGACCTACAGTGAGGTGATGGTCCAACAAACACGTGGTACATTGAAAATTCATCAGATGCAAAACAACAAGCTTAGCTATGTGGGTTGTTCTTTTCATGGCTGGCTGAGAGGTACAGCTTCTTGTCCCTGCTCAGCACCTCCAGAATAGTGACACCAGATGCTACCAATCTGCAAATGATCAGCATCCGTACTGTGAGGCTGACCACCAGATACATGCCTCGTTATCACAGACATAAAATGGGAAATCCCAAGCAGGACCATTCTAAGTTTAGATCATCTATACTACCATCCCAATGCGGGATCAATACAGGAGTGACTGAAGTGTCTATGTGTCATGGGGATACTAAGTCACACACACACACACACACACACACACACACACACACACACACACACTTCACAAACTTCTGCTGTGGAGTCCTTACCAAGGAACCCTAGAGGTTAAGCCTCAGGGAGGCTGCCTCACTCTCAAGCCAGGATGTCCCTCCATCAACGATGACAAGTCCCAACTGTGTCCAGACAGGAAGAGCAGCAGCCCCATGAAAATGTCCTCGGCCACATGGGTCTGCTGTTCCCAGACTGTGAGCTACTAATGGAGCACTCCTTTTGAGTTTAGCAAGGCACTGAGCTAACATAAGCAGTCAGCATCCCGCTACACACACACAGATCCCATGTCCTGAAAGACTATTATAGTCTGGACCTGAAATGTGCCACACACGCTCATGTTTTGAGCATTCTAGACCAGCTGTTTGGTGCATCTTGACCCTGCCCCTACCCCTGTGATGAGGATTGAACCTACAGCCTCATACACACTAGGCATAGCCTTTCTTCCTTTTTTTAATTTTAATTTTGAGACAGCATATCACTAAGTTGCCTAAGTTAGCCTTGAATTCACTCTGTAGCCCAGGCAGGCCTTGAACTTGTGAACCTATTGCCTAAGCTTTCCAAGCTTGCACCAACAAGCCCAGCTGTGGCATAACGCTGAAGGCTATGGAACCTTTAGGAGGTGTGGCCTAGCTATAGCTCAGCCGGGCAGTTTTTCTTATCTCCTCCTCCTGAAGCTCTGGGATAGCAAACAACTCTTTGAGGTGGACTCACTAGTGTAAGGACATTGACTGGCACAAGGCACAGTGTAAGTGTCCCGTATGGGCGGGCTAGCTTTTTCGTTTTTATTATCAAGTCAAGAAGATGCATCAGGCTCCTGAAGACATTGACAGAAATGATTCCCAAGGAAATCTTGGTGCTGGCAAAGAAATATCACCTATGTCCAGGTCACAAGGGTAGAAGAATCAGGTGAGTTATCTCGTGATCTTCACAGGGATGTGAGCTCCAAATGGCCAGAGCCAGAGTCCAGCTGCAGGAGCCATGGTGTACTGCCCGAGTTCCCAGCTTTTGAACATGTCTAGTTATCCAGCAGCAGCACCAATGAAAGCTGGTATAAAACGAAGCTGGTGAACATTGTGGGCACCAAGGCCACGGCTCGGCCGTTTTTGCTTCTGCCATTGAGCTGGTGCTCTGCCCTGCTGTGCTCCAGAGGCCTTCTGAGGGCTGTCACTGCAGGGACGGGACACGGCAGCATGCGGCCTGAGGACAGCTTTATTTATGCTCCTGCTGAACGGCCGAGCAGGCCTTGTTTTTCTAGACCGTCAGAGCGCGGTGGCTCACATAGCAGCCACGAGTCTACATTTAGAACCGTGTCTTCATTCACATTCTTTCCGTGGAGCTCATGGCTCCGGGGCTGGAAGACAGTGGTCACTTCTTCTTGGCCAGACCCCAGGAACCATGCCGGCTCTGGGCTATTCAGAATCTGTGTTCTTGATCCAAAGCCTAACTGTTGTCCTTGCTGGGGGTGGTCTGAGTCAGTGTGCCCACAGTAACTAATGCAGAGGTGGGATCCACGGCTTGTGGAAGGTGGAAGCCTTTCCTGGGGGCACCTGGATCCTGGGGTGGAGCGCTTGTGGTCTGGTTAGTGCTGTGGTCGGGTTAGCTCGCTTGGAGCTTCCTGCTAAGCAGATGCCTTATTGTTCTCTCCCAACACTGTTGACAAAGCTGCCCGTCACTCCCTGGCCCCCTGAAGGTTCCCCTGGCCTCTAGTCAGTCAGCCACTTCAAGCAAACAGTATCAGCTCTTGCCTCGGAGCACAGATCACCCGTGTCTATGATCCCAAACCAGACATGAGGTCATGCTTGCCACCTGTGAGGCATTAAGAGTAAGCTGGGAAGAGCGACTCAGAGGAGGAGGACAGTGAAGAGAGTTGGGAAATCAGAAGCCCCACGGAACGGTTCAGCTCTGGTTACTCACCCAAAGCAAATTCCATGTATAATGAGGTTTAGCAAGGCAGTACTGTCTAAGGTTGGGATGAAATGACTCTGGCCACAGGCAGATGACACGGAACTGACTGAATTTGTTTACATGTGTAACGGGGGAAACAATCACTAAAATAGCAAATCTATGATTTCTTGGGTATTGTTTAATGGAAAGCTCTATTTAAAAAAAAATAAATTGGCTTAAGTTTTATTTAAAGGAAACTAATAAATGATAATTTAGATGGCTGAGGATGTCATAAAAATTGTGTAACAATAATAAATAAATGGCTAACATGGGAAACTTGACAATATAATTATATATATATATATATATATATATATATATATATATATATATATATATAGCCTCGCTCCTTTGACAGAGCAATGGGTACTCTTTCTGGTTTAAAAGTAGGTAAACTGAGGTTTAGCAAGGAAGAGTGACTTGGCTGGTGTCAGGGAGCTAGGGATTAATGGAATCAGGGCTCCCTGGGCCTGTGTGGTGTTTTCACTCCCGTTTCAAGTTGTTATTTGTCCCGGATGGGATGGGCAACACTGAAAGGTAGAGTCTTCTTCAGACCACCTAAATGCTGAACCCATCCAGGGCCTGGTGTTCACAGGCTAAGGTTCAAGGCTGGGACAGAGGTGGCTGCCCTTGAGGTGCCCACAGAGTCAGGACAGGCAGTCCACAAATAGATGCAGAGGTATAGTGCTCTGCAGGGCTCCCCCGGGGCATTGAGCTCTGTATGGAGCCAGATACCTGGCAGGGCTGGACAACTTGAATCCCTCAGGCCACAGACCAAGGGAGCTTTAACAAAGGAGCTTTAGGCAAAAGAGAAGAAATTATTGTATCAAATTTTGGCAGTGAGGAGGATGGGGAGGGCAAGGAGCTAGCACAGCCTAGAGAAGGTGGTCTAGGGCCGTTTAGGGGTAGGGCAGGTGACCCCAGGCCAATCTAGGATGCAATCATCGAGAAGGCAGGTGTGAACTCATCTTGGGACTTTGGGGTGGGGGTGGGGGTCCTTCCCAGGGAAGGAGAGGGGAGCCCTGGGCTGATGGAAAAGATCTGTCATTGGTACCCAGGTTTTGCAAACACCAAGGCCAAGTTGTTGAGTGGACACTTACCTTGCATCTTCTCTGGTTATTTCTCATCCTTCTGCATCTCTCCCCTTGAAACCCAGCCCAGCCTTCCCCCAGCCTGCGGCTGGCCAGATTATTTTGCTCCAAAAGCGTGGCAGAGTATGGCTCCTTACTCGAGGAATGCAGGCCGTGGTTGTCCAGAGCCGATGATGAAACGGGCTATTTCTGCTCTGGGACATCAGCAGGCCTCCGTGGCTGGTTCCAAGGCACACACTATCATGTTCTTAACATTTCTTGAGACAAATGCTTTCCTCCCCCCACCTTGAGATATTTTTATTCGAATCTAGGTTCTGGGGTGACTGTAGAAATCACTCTGCACTGAAGCTGGAATCGTGGTGAGGGGCCAGCTAATCGGCAAACAATTTTCACTCCCTGAGTTATCTATTACTCGTGGCTGATCTGGATGTAAAAATAGCCTCTGAGGCTGTTTGTTTAATCTGACTGTTACTTGACACCACGCGGGTGTTGCAGAGCGGACTGTTTGCCTCTTCCCCACCACGAACACCATTTGGTTTCCCCAGGCCAGTCTCTGTTTGGGTAAGCTTCTGGGCCTTCCACGGCTGGCAGCTTCTGGCCGCTGATCCTGCTCAAGTGGGTAACTCGGTGGGACGCAGGCAGTCCGGGTGTTGAATCCTCTTTCCTCTCCTCTCTGGGCAGCCTGGCTAAGGGGGAAGAAGTTCGGGCAACTGGGCAGAGCCGGTACCCTCCAGATCCTGGGAAGGCCTGTGGAACAAGCAGCTGGTTCGCACGTGGAGATCGGAAGGTACAGTCTGCACACTTGCGTGCTCCTTGGCACAGTCAAGGGAGTCTCCAGCGGATAGTGGAAGGGGTGTCTGCTCTGGAGGGCTGCGAGCGTTGAGATGTGTAGGATGGCGTCTAGGGGGTAAGAGCAGACTGAGTGCTGGGGCTCTCGGGGCTGAGAGTGCTTTGTGGACCATGAACGGAAGATTTAGAGCATTTATGTGTGACTTTGTCCTCCCACGTAGCTGTCAGGGCGCTCAGCTCCTACACGGCGGAGTGAGCACGTGCTGGTGGATATGTCGGGTCTTTGCATTGCCAAATGGGACCACCAGGGTCCCAGGTTTCACGGCAGAGTCGAAGGAGACTCCGTTGTCACTCGCAGCTATAACGGAGAGAGACACTGGCCGTGGCACTCTGACTTAAGGGCTTTGAAAGCACGTGGGTCTCCAACACAAAGCCCTCAGCAGACTGCCCGTCCTCACGCACCCCAGGGAGCCCAACCAGATTCCCTACCAGTCAGGCTTGCCCAGTGGAAAGCCATTCTTTTTCTTTCTTTCTTTTCTTTTTTTTTTTTCATTTTCCAATGGAGAAGAATTGGTAAGTGATGAGCACTCTTTTGAATATAAATATATGAAAGTTTAACATAATTAAGAAATATTATTTGGCATTGTAAAATGCCTCTGTAAATACAGGAATCAGATGTGCATGTTAAACAACGTCTGCTTTTCCAACCTTTGGAAACAGTAGTGATTGAATGCCCTGTGACTGGGAGCCTGGATTTGTAAATAAAGCTTTGCTGGCACACGGCCCAGTGCATTCATTTGCATAAAGCCAGGCAGTTTTACACACCTGCCCAGACTGTGCAGCGTGGAAAAACCAAGTGTGTGATCTTTTACAGAAAAAGGCTGCTGACTGCCCATGGGGCACATGCTCCTGGAGCTGAATAGAATTTTAATCCACGTACATCCACAACAGCAATGCAGTTCATGCAAGCAAGTCTAAATTCAGTTTGTCACCCCAAAACAAAACAAAGAAAAAGACACGCAAGTAGGAAGTCTGGAGCGTGAAGTTGGGAAAAAGGGGTCAGCTAGAATAGAAGAGGATGCGAGAGAGGGTAATGGGGGTGGAAGTAATCAAAATACACTATGCATTGCCAAAGGATTAATAATAATAATAATAATAATAATAATAATAATAATAATAATAATAATAATAAAAGCAAATTTAGGAAGAAAGTAAAGAACAGCCTGGGAGCAGGATGTTCAGGGCCAGCAGCAGGTGGACTCTGAAGTCTCCTTCCCTAGGCCTGCTTATCAGTTCTGGCTCACACCGGAAGATTTCAGTTTTGCCCTGTGGGGCTGAGGGTTACCTTAGCCTTAGAGTCACCAGTCGTGTGGAGCATCGGTGTGGCCAGCTGACCAGAGTGGATTATGCTTATTGGGGAGTTTATAAATAGCCATCTCCGGGTGACCCAAGTCCAACCTGCATCTGCCCCTTGGGTCTTTGGTCTGGAAGGAAGTGTTCCTGCTTTTTGGTGACCAGAAGCTGGTAGGGATGGGAGCAAAGGCTCACACTAAAGAGGAGGAAGCGGGTGGTGGGATGCCGGATCATTGAGGCAGAAGGACCAGAGTCCACCAGGACGGACACTCAGGCAAAGGGAGCTGGGAGCAGGTGACAGGGAAGGCCAGAGGGAGCCTTGTGGCCTCAGAGGAAGAGTCCATCTCTTTGGCTGGCTGCCTTTTCTCAGCAAGTGCCTGTGTTTCCTGCCCTCTGCTCTTGACCCTGACTCACAGGGGGAAGCCCCATGTTCCAAAATAGCCTACTCCTCCAGTCGCAGGCAGTCTCAGTAACTGAGCCCTGCCCATGACGCCAAGGCTAGGCTGGCTTGCTTGTTGCCTCTTGGAGTTTTAATCTGTCTGTCCCGGGGTTACTGGAGAGGAGTGGGGGCTTTAAGAGAATGTCCCTGGGGGAAGGTGCACAGGGCTGGCATTCCCCAGTAAGGTCCAAGCAGGCTAGAGTGTCTAGGCTTTGTGTCTATTGGTAGATTTGAACCCCATTTCACCAACTCTAGCTAACCCATTGCCCTGTAATTTGATTGTTGTTCCTGCTTTTTTGTTTTGAAACATAGGCTGGCCTTGAACTCCCGATCCTCTGTTTCTATTTGCAAAGTGCCAAGTTCTAAGGGTACGGGAGTGTGCCACCATACCCTGCCCATCTTGGGTTTCATTTAGTTAAGAAAGCTCCAAGTGCCTCTTGGCCTCTGCTTGGTTCCCAGGGGCTTGCATGGCATGAGCTGGTGGGAATGGCTGGAGGGGAAGCCAAAGGATCCACGGAGGTCAGAGATCAGGACCCAGCAGGGAACCTGTGGAGTACACGCCAGTGCTGAGACACACCACACAGCGTAAGCCACAGGGTCAGTGTGGAACGTAGCTGTATACAGCACTAGCGCAGTAAGAGTAATACATGTACTTCAGGAGTCAGGGGAAGGTGGAGCATGGTCTTGGCTTGAGGACCAGCCTCAAGGGGCAGATGGAGCTGAGGTGGGGCAAAAAACATTCCAAGCTGGGCCTGTGTACGCTGACCTTAGGGGAATCTGAGAGCAAAAGAGTTTGAAGAACCCAGCGAGCATCTGTGGCTTCTCTAAGGACTTGGGAGAGAGTGTTCCTACCCAGCTCTCCAAGGTCCAGCTAAGACAGGATGTGAACAAAGGGCAGCACCCAGGAAAGGCTCCCAAAAAGCACTTCCCAGTGCTCACACTCAGCTTCAATGGGAGCCCCCGGCTCTTGCCAGCCGAAGGCAGTCCTTTTCGTCTTTGAGCAGGCCCATTTTTCAGGAACTGTCTGGCTGAGTGGAGAGACACATATCGCCTCAGCCATTTCCCATCGTAAAGCCTTTGCCCAAAGGAAGGAAGAGGTGCTGGGATTCAGTTGATTCATCTAGGAGCAGGTTTCTGAGACAGCTCAGATCATCTCCAGCCTCTCTGTGGTGACTAGAGGCTGCTTTCACACCTGGTACTGCTGAGCCCTACCTTTGAGGAGCAGGTGACATTGGAGCTGCCCCTTGCCTAGGTCTGAGACTACCAGGCTACATGCAACATTGTGTTTGGGGCTCAAAACCTGGGCCTTGGCAACTCTAACAAGCTAGGCCTGGCCACCTGGCCTCAATAGTCCAACTAGAGAGACAAGAGCTGGGGAGAGATGTAGTCCATGTGACCATACTAGAAAGAGGAACACAGAGTCCCAGTGATCCCCAAAACTATCTTCTGGGGTCCTGATATGAAGTTTAAGCTTAAACACTATGTGCATGCCCAGCTAGCTTGGTCAGTAGAGCAGGAAATTCCTAAGTTTAAAGATAAGGATTAAAATCATTGACCCATGATTCTCTAGCTCTGTCCTTTAAGGGGATCTAAGTTGTCATAACTGTGAAAACTTCCTGAGAAACCAAATCCTCCTTTGGCTGGCACCAGGCTTTAGCCCTTCCCTTCTACTAGCGTGAGATTTCTGGGGAAATTTCAACTCCCTAGAGACCTTTTGTTTCATTATTCTGATAGCCAAAGGGCAGGCAGAGGTGCCTTTCTCTTCAGAATATCTTCACTCCTGCCAGCATCGTTACAGCACAAAGAGCTGACCCCTGTCCCCAGTCTGGCCTTGTCTGACTCTCACAGGAGGGAGGGCCCAAGTGCTCCAGGAGTCAAAGGCACAGCTCAAAGACACAGGGCTATACCCTGCCCTCAGTTCCCACACCACAGCCTCCATTCAGTGGCTAGCTACATGTTCCCAACAGATAAGTTCTTAGCATGTCTGGGTTTATGGTTGAGGTCACCCAGCACAATAGATCTTAGGATCTCCTTCATAGATGCAGACATTGAGGCTCAGAGGGGTTTAATAACTTGCCTAAGCATGCACAGCTAATGAGGGACAGAGGAAATTGCCCCAAGACCAGGGGAGCCTCGGGAGCTCTGGTCGGCCCCAGTTCAATGAAGGAACTCTCCATCACTGCTGTCTCCCTTTATGTTGGGGAAAGGCAAAGTGCTCTCAGTGACTCTAGTGATTGACAGTAGGCCTAGATTAACCAAGTTACCTGGTAGTGAGGACCATGCCGTCTCTGTTTTACAGACCCAAGAACCTACTTCATTTTCCTAGTAACCATATGAGGTTATGTAGAAACTGAGGCACAAAGAAGGACTTATTTACTTATTTATTTTTGTAATTTGTTGAGGGCCACACACAGCTAGTTCAGCCAGGATCCAAGTTCAAGGACATCTGGCACTCCAAGGTCCCTGTCTTAGTCCACTCAGGCTGCCATCATAAAAACACATAAATGGCTTATAAACAACACAGTTCAAGGCACCAGGCCGGCCCAAGAACCAAATCCTCACATATAGTACCTTCCTGCTGTGTGTTCACTAGGTAGGAAGAGGGCAAAGGAGCTCTGTGGGGTACTTCCATAAAAACACTAATCCCATTCACAGGGCTCCACTCATGTGACCTATGCACCTCCCAGATCCTGATCCATCAAGTTCAGGATTAAAGTTAGACACA